AAAAAAAATTCTGTTAATCAATTGAGCAATTCTGTCGTATATAACTGTCTAATTTCAATGACGCTGTCTCTTTAGTTGCAAAATATTTAAATTTGGCCTTGAAGCTCATTTGAAGGCCAGTGTTCTCAAACCTAATAGCAAAGTCTTAAAAAAAAAAAAGTTTTCCTTTAGTAACATCTCAGAACAGAAAGGTTCCTTCTGAAGAAAAAAGGGACATCATAGCTGTCCTTTTATTCCTCTCTCCAGAGCAGCACATTTAGATGTTTGCCACCAGCAATGCTAAAGTTACAGTAGGAATTTGTAATCAGTTTTTTATCTATTCTCTCAGCTTTAAATCTTAAAAGCAAATAAATGGGAAAAAGTCACCTCCTTCAGGAACTAGTGCCAATGCTACTAAGCAAACTCTATTACAAAAGAGGTAAACACTTATGGATGCATGTATTTTTTAAGTTGAAATTTCCCAACATGATTTTATCCAAAAATTTAAATTAGTTCCAGTGTCCAAAGATAAAGGTACTGATGAGATACCACTGCTTCCAAAACATAAATCTTTTGAATGATTGTAGATCCTCTTCCCACCCCCTTTGGTTTGTGACTTGGTTCATTTTAAACTACTGGTAATAATTGTGTTTATTTTAAAATAAATGCATCTAAAAGTAGTTTAGAATGGAGTACATTGAAATGAAGAGATTAATAGCAATACAATTATGATATCTCTATATAAAAACTACCTGCAGTGAGTATATTCAAGGCTGAAAAGTGAATTGAACCCAAAAAGACTGTCATTGAATTGGTATGGCCTGACCCATAGGCCAGCTCATTTGGTCTTTGGTGTATGCATTACAGAGGGAACACTGTAACACTGTCCCTGCCCGTATGTGAAGCTACAATCTACCAGAAGAAACAGTGGGAAAATAAGGGATAAAAATGTACATAACCCATTATTGAAAGTGTTTTGGGGGCCAGTTTTATGGGAGGATTTGAACATTGGTTTATAGTTTAAAAAGGAAAGAAAGAAATTGCCCCTTCATTTGTAGGAAACTTGGGCAGAGGTCAAAGATTTGGGCAGAAGTTCATCTATGAATAGCCACTGAGCATCTATTCGCAACAGAAGCATGTGAGAATCTGGGGGTGCAGAACCACCCTCAAGAAGCTTATGGTTTACTGAGAGACAGACACACAAAACCAGAGCCAAGGTCAGAGTGCTAGGGGGCTGTGGTTAAAATGAGATTAATTCTGTGTTGTGGTGTCAAAAGCCTTTATATGTAACGTCTGAGCACCTGTTATATACCAGACAGGGTACTAGATATTGGAGGTAATGCGTAAACCACAGCTTTTGCTGGAAGGGACCTGCTTTTATGTGTTGCTGGAGGAAGGACATGATCGTGCATTTCATCTTGGACATGTTGACTTTGAAGGGCCTTTGGCACATCCAGGGGGAGATGGCAGATAGGCAGGCAGATGTGTGAGTCTGGAGCTCAGGGGAGAGGCCTGGCAGAGAGTCAGCTGTGAATGGGACCCATGAGCCTGTGAGTGTGGTGCGATCTCCTAGAGACAGGAGAGAGAGAGGAGGTCCTTGGGCCTGGAATGTAGGAGCTGGCACCAGCGTATCTTTAACGTGTATTATTTGACCAAGGTTAGGGAGCAGAAGCAACAGAGATTGATGCATTTTCTATGTGTGTATTCATTATTATTAGACTCTTCTGTCTTGTTCTACAGAAGTACTTTGCTCACATAAGCTTTATCTCATTGGAAGTGATTAGGCATGAAAGGAACTTGTAATGGAGGGGATTTTTAAAAATCTGATTCCATGTTGTATCAGTGTTCTTCAGTTATCTGTGACATACTTGTTCCAAAACAGAGTAACTTCCTCCATCATTGCTTGACAGCTAGATTGTTAGTGCTGCTTTTTCCCTATTCTCCAGTCTTAATAGTGGGTTATCTTTCCATGTGAGTTGTAGTTGGAGTGGATTAATAGTGGGGAAATTAGGGACTGGTTTTTTATTCTGTTTCGCATTACTGTGGTGCTGAATGCTGATAACTCATTAAATCACCAATCCTTTATTCAGGAATTATTCTCTTGACTGCTATCTGTTCTTTCTTCTGTAAAATGGAAAACTGTGAGTGTTATTCAAAAGATGTTTCAATACAGAGGTATTTTCTCCCTCCTTCTCTCCCTTCACAAATACTTAGTGCTGTGTGCGATACACTATGACAGGTCCTGGGGAGATACTGGTGAGCAAAGCTGATATGGTTCAGATCTTAGCTCAGACTCCTGTAACAAAATACCACTGGGTAGGTTAAACAACAGACACTGATTTTTCATAGTTCTTTCTGGAGGCTGGAAGTCCAAGATCAAGGTGGTAGCTAATTCAGATCCTGGTGAGGGCTCTCTTCCTAACTTGGAGACAGCTACCTTCTCCCTGTTTCCTCACATGGCCTTTCCTTAGTGCTTGGGGGTAGAGAGAGAGAGAGAGCATGCAAGCTGAGGTCTCTCTTGCTCTTCTTATGAGGGCACTAATTCCATCGTGGTGGCCGTACCATCATGACCTCATCTCATCCTAATCACTTCCCAAAGGCCCCATCTCCAAAAATCATCACATTGGGGGCCACATATACATTTAACCCATTACAATCCATGCTCTCAAAAGCTTATAGTCTAACATAGGAGTCGGACAGAAATCAAATAATCATACCGTAAGATATGAGAATAGTAGTGATAAGTGAGCTGATGAAAGACTATAGAGTAATATAAGAACCATAACAGGAAAAGGCCAGGGAAATTATTTGGAATTGGCATATATTAGTCCTGAGTACTTTTGGAGAATAATTGTTTGCTGTTATCTGCTAATCAGTTATTTTTATCAAAGACAAGTCATGAGTGATAAAATAACCCCTTCACCTAGCATGAAAGTACACAGCTGTTTTTCAAAACGTGCTTGAATAAATGAGTGAAAGTGTGAAAGGGGGAGAAGAAAAGCCAGCTCCCACGGACATCACGCATAGCGTGAGTTTCACCTTGGGATTTCTACACATCTTTTTCTTTTGAAATATGTTAACTGTGCATCTCAGTTAAAGCTATAAGAAGTCACATTCTGTACTTGTCATCACTAAAAACTGCTCACCAAATACATTGAACGCCTGGCTCTTCCAGGGTGTCAGCAGGTCTGCCCCATGCTCGTGTCTTGTTCCCTACTCTTGTGTCACGTGAGGGTTTTGTATACATGCCATCGGATACTTATGTTTTCTGTGGACAGTGAAAATTTCACCTTTTTCTAAAATGAATTTCACTGTGTTTTTAGTAGTTTTGTCTGTTTTTCCTGTAAGTGGCATATGCTGATGAACTCATTGATGCCTCTGGGGGAAAATTGTTTTAGCTTTTTAAAGTGTACATTAAATATAGATCATGTTTAAAGGAATATTGGATGAACAACTGATTTATTCAAAAACAGCTCTGTAAATTCTATGAACTTAATACTACTTAAGTGGAATACATTTCCCCTTGCAATTAACCTATCTCGATGATCAGCGTTTGTGTCCTGAGATTGACTTTTGACTGTCACTGACTTTAATTTGTTCATTTGGCAGTAAATACTGATTGAGTGCTCATTGTGTGCCCAAAGTTCTGTCAGGTGCCAGGGGTACAGCTCTGGACAGTCTTTGCCCCCGAGGAGCTTAACGTCAAAATCTCAAAAGCAAAAAGAAGCAAGGACCAAAAAACCCTTAAATAATTTTCGCTGTGTGTAAATTCTAGCCTTTCTAGTCAGACAGCCCTGGCTTGACCACTTAATGGCTTTGCCAACTTGCTTGACCTCTCTTAAGTTGTTTTTGTGTCTGTAAAATGCGGATAATAATTTACATGTTTGTCACAATGCAATACTGATGGGTAGACAAGTCCCATTAGGCACAAAAAATATACAGTTTTTAGTGGCAGCAGATGCAGCAACTAGAAACTACACAAAGCAGATATGATGCAGTGTGCCCCTCAGTGAGGTCCTGCTGCCTGGGTCCCAGGGTTCCTCTTGGGACGTCCAGCTGGTGACACTGCTCATGTCGAGGAAGCCTTCTAGCAGCTGTGAGGTGCTCCTGTGCCATTCGCAGGCAGTGGGGTTAATACCATCCAACATCCTCCACCCTGACTGTTCTTTGGCTCTGGGGCGTGCCTCCCCGCACCACCCCAGCACATTCCTGAGTGTGTGCTCTGAGGTTGGGTGAAGCCAGGGAAAGATTCCTAGGAGTAGCCCTCAGCACCCACAGGCGTCAGGCCCATCTGAGGTCTATACCAGCAATTCCTGTGCCTGTCTCACAGGGTTAGTTATTTTGACAGTGAGGTAAAGCTCTGTAGCATAGTGCTTAGCACAAAGTACATACTCGATGCATGTATTAATGCCATTAATGCGTCATTACATTAATTATAAATTAATATATTAATACTATTATTATTCTCATTGAAATAAAACATTAGACATTAAACATTAGAAATAAAGCATTATTTCAGGAGCATCTTCTTTTCCAAATATGGTAACATGTTTACTTAACCAAATGTATTTTCTCTTTGTTCATGCTTAAACCTAAACCTTTTCTTCTAAATTTGAGAAAATCATAACAACAAATCTCTGCTGCTTCTTCATCTTCCAGGAAAGTAAATGAATATTATCTTTTCTTAACTCCTTTCCTCAAACCATAAAAAACAAAAACAAAACAACCAATAAATCCCACAAGTAGTGAAACAGTGGTTTTGTTGGTAGTATTTGAAAATTTCCACACAACATAATATATTCATTGTGCCGTTTGTCACATTTCAGTATTAGAGGTCTAAAATTCTTGCAATAATAGTTTCTACTACTTAATGTTTTTTTGTCACCTCTCAGTTACTTAACTGGTTTATTTTTTCAGTTCTAAATGTATTTTGTCCTCCTAAAACAGTTGAGGCAGTGAGGTTTGCCAGAAACCACAGCACTTGCTCCCCCTTGGTCATGGGTCCTGGTCCTTGGTTGCAGGTGCTGTTCGGCACGGCCGACGGGCAGGTGATTGTCATGGACTGCCATGGCAGGATGCTGGCCCACGTCCTCCTTCACGAGTCAGACGGCGTCCTCAGCATGTCCTGGAACTATCCCATCTTCCTGGTGGAGGACAGCAGTGAGAGCGACACGGACTCAGATGACTACTCCCCTCCCCAAGGTAGCTCCCTGGCCCCTCACTGTCCTTGTCACTTCACAGAAGGGAACAAAAGAGTATCAAAGGATAATAAACCGATTTAGAGGAGGAAGGGCAAAGGTCTGCCATATGCACAGCACCCTGACTTACTAGGAAGAGTTCTCGAACTGAAATGCAAAGGAGGACCAGTCTAGTCTCTGTTCTTTGCTTGATTGTCTCATCTGTGCTGTCCCTTTTCTAAGAATCACTGTTCTAATTGATTATGCTCCATTGACTTCAGTTTTCCTAGATATAAAATGAGACATACGGCTCTTTCTGTGTCCCTGGGGTGTTGTGGGGCTTGCACTGCCTAGAATAAAGCAAGCCAAAGATGAAAAATTCTGTGCTATTAATATAACTTAATATGTGGTGTATCCAAGTTCCTAATGTTATTAAAGCCTGTAGCTTTAGTTGCATGAGAAATAGATTAGTTCTGCCTCAGTGAAGACCAGCACCTTGGGCAGATGCTCCATGGACCTATCTGTCCTCTCTATTTCAGGCAGAAGCTGTTCCCTTCTCAGTTCAAAAGGACCTGCCACCCTCTGAAGGCCTCGCTGTGCTGTTAGATACTCTTGGTGGCAATGATTCTAGTCTCCTTTACTCCTAGCAGTGTGTTTTATACCTCGGTTGTGGAAAAGACCAAAAAAATAACAACAAGGTGAAGGAAGCTTTGATGTTGATGCCGGCCATCACCAGGATCAGTGTTCATCACTGGCCATCTTGGGGATTTGGCTGTTCACCAGGATCCCAGGCCCTGCACCCATGTCCTTTTTTAAAAGGAAAATATGGGCTGGGCGGTTAGCTCAGCTGGTTAGAGCACTGTGTTGCAACACCAAGGTCAAAGGTTCAGATCCCCATACAGACCAGCCACCAAAAGAAAATAAAAGGAAAATATTTCAGGAGATGGTGGAAGGGAATGGCTTCTGGATTAGAAGTGGTCACACTGCTGCAGGCTTCTGTCCTTGGCCTGGCACAGCTGTGTTCCCACTGCTGGGTGCTCTTCACAGTCGAAGGGCAGGTGCTGGGATGGTTTCTAACCTTTCTTGCCATTGCAGTGCATGTCCTCCAACGAAGAGCTGGTCCAGGGAAAATTGTAAAAATTTTCTCCCCTGTCAGCACCTGCCTCCATTTGTACTTGCAGTGCTCTTTTTGTCTTCTTCCTTCCACCACAGAGACAGAGATACATGTGATATTTGCCAGCCACATACGTGTGTGTGTGTGTGTGTGTGTGTGTACACACATGTTCATTCATTCATTTACTTTAGGAGAAGGTGTTGTTCACACATGAACAAAAAATTAAGATTGGTGGTAGCATTTCAGAATTGGTGGGTCTTGGGAGGGAGTGTTCCTAACACCCGTACATCCATTTGGGAGGTAACTATTCCCTTTCCTAATAGGATGCCAGCCTTGAGGGAAGCGTTGGTCATATTTCTACAGACTCATAGTAATAAAGTCAATGTCTTTGTAACATGGACTCAGTATACTTTTAAAACAGAACTCCTCTTCATGTTGAATCCAGATTTACTTATCCCCATTTTGTTATTGGAAGAAACAAGGTCCAGAGACCAAATTTACAAAGCAAGTCCAGAGTAAGTCTAAGAACAGAATTCAGTCCCTGGTTGCTCTTCTAGCCAGTTGCCCTTCTCAGAAGCAATGGGGCAATTTCGAGAATGACAGGTATTTGCCTTTTGATGGAACAGGATTCTTGGTGATGTAGGGAATTTGAGTGCAGAGGTAGGTAGGGCACAGTGTCTTAGTGTGAAACAAAGGAGAGCAATAACTGGGATTCCTTTTGGGTGGATGTCAGGCAGGCCCATCCGATGGTTGCAAAGCCTACAGGATCCTTCTGAAAGAGCCCTGATTCATGCAGGCATGTAGAAGGGACCTACTTTAGTTTTTCAGGCAGCCCACGGAAGACCCAATTCATGGTTCCTCCCAGTCCCGTCATTAACATCTGGACTAGTACTCCTTGAGCTTGTGAAGGAGGGTTTCCTTCATGCTGGCTGTGTACTGCGGACGTAGCAAAACTCTCATTAGCCACCCCCAACGTCAACCTTCTCTCCAAATTTGGGGTCTCCTAGGTGAAAATTTAAGGAAGGAACTAATGGTGGTTGCTGTGGCTTCTCATTTCCTATAACATTCAATGAAAGAGCATTTAGTATTGAAAAGTAACTTTCCTCTGTGTGTTGGACCAGAATTAAGGAAGTGTTTTCATCCCTCTTCCTACCATCCTTGTATGTGGTTTGACATTAAAGTATCTTAGGTTTATACATCATTAGAAACACATAACATGTTGGGCCGACCCCGTGGCGCACTCGGGAGGGTGCGGCGCTGGGAGGGTGTGGCGCTGGGAGCGCACGCTCCCGCCGCGGGTTCGGATCCTATATAGGAATGGCCGGTGCGCTCACTGGCTGAGCGCGGTGCAGACGACACCACATCTAGGGTTGCGATCCCCTTACCAGTCATGAAAAAAAAAAAAAAAAAAAAAAAAAAAAAAAAAAAAAAAAAAAAAAAAAAAAAAAAAAAAAAAAAAAAAAAAAAAAAAAAAAAAAAAAAAAAAAAAAAAAAAAAAAAAAAAAAAAAAAAAAAAAAAAAAAAAAAAAAAAAAAAAAAAAAAAAAAAAAAAAAAAAAAAAAAAAAAAAAAAAAAAAAAAAAAAAAAAAAAAAAAAAAAAAAAAAAAAAGAAACACATAACATGTTAACAAACAAGTTAATAAACTTCCCATGTGTTCTCACCACCCTACAATTGCCACCAGGGCTGTATATCCCACATTCTGCTTCTCATTTCAGGGTTCTTTGTTAGTGCCCTTCTGATGGCCTTTGTGTCATTCCTGAATGGTGTAGAATGTTTGCCTTATTTGGTAGCATCCAGTCTAGAGTCGGATCTGCATTATCAGGAATTTTTAAAGCACCTCGCAAGACAGCAGCCTTGGGAACCAGGATTTGGGTTATGTGCTCATTGCCTTCTTTTCACCCGGCACTGTGTTTTCGCAGATGGTCCAGCAGCGTATCCCATCCCAGTGCAGAACATCAAGCCTCTGCTCACCGTCAGCTTCACCTCGGGAGACATCAGCCTAATGAACAACTACGATGACCTGTCTCCTACTGTCATCCACTCAGGGCTGAAAGGTACAGAATGCTGCACACACCCCAGCCCTACATGTGCCCTGTGCGTGCATGCCCTCCAAGCTGGTGTCGTATACCCAGTACTTACTGATTCCTGTCTGCCATGGTGACCTCTTCTGGGATTAATGGAGTCTGTTAACTAAGGTCACTTCCCTGTAGGCCCTCTATTGATCTGATAAGTTGATACCTAGTCTTATCTTGAGGAGGGATTCCTTACATTCAGTCATCATCTTAACCTGCTCTTTACTCACTGTGACAAGAATGAGCCTCTCTTGGGTATACAAGTGTGTTTGCATCAGGCTTATACTGTGTCTGCACAATAAACAGACTGCAGCACCTGCCATTCTTGAGGCAGCAGATGGTGCACAAGAGGTCATTTACACAGAAGCCCCTGTAATTTTAAGGAGCTGACAGGCTTATTAAGGAACTGATCACGGAAATAAAGTTATCTTGAAGATTTGTGGAGGTTGCACAATGACCAGACTGAGGCATGGATGCAAAGGGCAGCAGCCAGGTGCTGATGCCTTCCAGAGACATGTTATGAAATGTTGTTATCTTGAGAGAAAAATCAGTGAACATAGGCTTATTGAAGTGTTCTGAATTTTGCAATTTGAGAATGCTACTGGTGTTGTGACCCTGGGAAGTCCAATCTGTCTCTTCAGGATTGCACGGTGCAACATAGAAAGGTTTTAAAATTCAGTTTTTGGGCTGCCTCTGGACCTTGAAGTTAAAAGGACCCACTATAATCTGAATGGGGAGGTGGGGGACAGGCCGGGACCTTCAGTACAACTAGTTAACTGTCATTTAAAACTGGCCATCAGTCTAGAGAGTCACTGCCGTGTGCTGAATTATTCAGGAATCACAGAATATAAAGAATCAGTTCATATACTTAACTCTTGGCTGGCAGGAATATATCATACCTGCCTCCACATACCGAAGCACTCATTAATTCTACTTTAAAACTATAGGATGTTTTTAGAAGCAAATTATACTGCCTCTTTTGGATATCCCATTCTGTTGTTTCAGACCTGTAATTGTAAGGAATTATTTATCCTGTAAACTCCAGAGGGACATGAACTATGTAGAAGTTCTTCTTTAGACCACAAATAGGAGCTGAATAAGTGATGATAATGATGAACTTAAATTCCTTGTACTTTTATGTAAATTATTTGTGAATGTTCTGTCTTTCATGGAACTAAAATGCAGGGATGGTCATCATAAATTCTCCCATATATTTAGTAATCTAACCTCTACTTTTTTCTCTTTAAAAATTCTGCTTTTAAGCCTTTCAACCAAGTTTATTAATTTCTTGGGAACTTGCCTCTAGTTCTGGAATCCTGGACTTTGTTCTCTACCAAATATCTGGTCAAGAATGAAAATAATGTAATTATCACTCAGTTCCTTTTTATTCTTTATAAGGTGAATTTTTCTAATTTTTTACCATCTTGCCTATGGAAATTTTTCAGTCCTTGGATATATTATTTTGTGCTGTGTTTGATTAGATTGTATTGGAGCAGCACTCCTAACACATGCTTCCTCCCCCAAATTGCAGCTGACATGGGGAGGTGACCCAAAGTAGGCCTTTCAAATGCAGAACTTTTTTATTTGAGTTTCATTCTAAAAAATACAGACAAGTTTAGCATCTTCATCATTGCCTATCTAGAAGTCTAACTCTAAACATATTTTCAATCGTTTATACTTTTATGGGGGGAGATGCTTTTGTATTGTCTTCCTAGTTTCAGAAAGTTAGAATAAATTGTAGTGAACTGGGGCCATATAGTAGGTTCTGTGTACAGCCAATTTCTTTTTTCTCTCCTGACATCAGACTGTTTTAAGGACTCATCTTGGATATGATATGAACAGTAATAGTTTTTTGTTTTTGTAATTTATTCATTTCTTATCCACTACCTTATGGGCTATGTTAGTAAGTACTGGGAAGAGACTACCAGATATTAGTAAAAGTATTACATGACTTCGTCAGAGTCAACTTATAGGTCTAAGTCCTTTATGTCTCTGTGGCACACCCACTACAACTGGGACTTCAAGATGCTTCCTCCCCCATCATAGAAGAACTGCTATATTTTCATGACCATGCCCTGATAATTGTATTCTTAATCAGCTCTCTAGTCCTCTATACCATCTCCCTAATGTTAACCACAAAACTTATGCACACAAGCACTATAAACGCCCAAATAGTGGAAACCATGTGAACAGTTTTACCCGCTGTAATCCTAATTTCAATCGCTCTCCCATCACTGTGAATCCTTTACATAACAGACGAAATCAATAACCCTCTCTTAACCGTCAAAGCTATAGGCCACCAATGATACTGAAGCTACAAATATACGGACTATATAGATCTAAACTTGGACTCATACATGATCCCCACCCCTGACCTAAAACCAGGGGAACTCCGACTCCTAGAAGTTGATAACCGAACCGTACTCCCAATAGAAACCCCAATCCGCATACTGATTTCATCCGAAGACGTGTTACACTCCTGAACCGTACCCTCACTGGGTCTAAAAACAGACGCAATTCCAGGACGCCTAAACCAAACAACCCTATCAGCAACACGACCCGGTTTATTTTATGGGCAGTGCTCAGAAATCTGCAGCTCAAATCACAGCTTCATGCCCATCGTACTTGAACTCATCCCACTCAAACATTTCGAAACTTGATCAACCCTAACGTCATAAACACATTGTGAAGCTAAGCAGCATTAACCTTTTAAGTTAAAGAATGGAAGCACTAACCTTCCCACAATGAAATGCCACAACTAGACACCTCAACATGATTCACCTCTATCACATTTATAGCTCTAACACTCTTCATTATATTCCAACTAAAACTTTTAAAGTTCATCTACCATCCTGACCCTACAGAAAAGCCTACTAAGTCACCAAAACTCAAAAGCCCATGAGAAAAAAAATGAACGAAAATCTATTCACTTCCTTTACAACCCCCACATTAATGGGTTTACCTATCGTAGCCCTTATCATCTTCCTGCCCAACACAATATATCCCTTCCCTTCCTGCCTCATCAATAACCGCTTAACATCTCTGCAAATATGACTAATCCAGCTCATCCTAAAACAACTAATAACGGTACACAACATCAAAGGACGATCATGATCTCTAATACTAATTTCACTAATCCTATTTATTGGCTCAACAAACCTACTAGGACTACTACCCCACTCATTTACACCTACTTCCCAACTATCACTAAATCTAGGCATAGCAATCCCCCTATGAACCGGAACAGTAATTCTAGGCCTCCGCAACAAAACAAAAAAATCCCTGGCTCACCTTCTACCTCAAGGCACACCCACCCCTCTCATCCCAATACTCATAATCATCGAAACTATCAGCCTCTTCATTCAACCCCTAGCCCTAGCCGTACGATTAACAGCTAACATTACAGCGGGCCACCTACTTATACACCTCATCAGAAACGCTACATCCATGTTTATTACCCTAAGCCTTCCAGCAGCTCCAATTACCTTCATTCTTCTCGTCCTACTCACTATACTAGAACTTACCATAGCCCTAATTCAAGCCTACGTGTTTACCCTTCTAGTGAGCCTCTACCTACGTGATAACACCTAATGACTCACCAAACCCACGCCTACCACATAGTCAACCCCAGTCCTTGACCACTTACAGGAGCCCTGTCTGCCCTACTCATGACATCCGGCTTAACGATATGATTCCGTTTTAATTCCAACACCCTGCTAGCCCTAGGATTATTAACCAACTTACTAACCATATACCAATGATGACGAGATGTGGTACGAGAAAGCACTTTCCAAGGACACCATACAACCATTGTGCAAACAGGACTACGATATGGAATAATTCTCTTCATTACATCCGAAGTTTTCTTCTTCGCTGGGTTCTTCTGAGCCTTTTACCACTCAAGCCTAGCCCAAACTCCCAACCTAGGGGGCTATTGACCGCCAGCAGGCGTCAACCCTCTTAACCCCATGGAAGTTCCATTACTTAATACACTAGTACTGCTGGCCTCTGGAGTATCTATCACCTGAGCTCACCACAGCCTTATAGAAGGAAACCGCAAGCATATATTACAAGCTCTCCTCATCACAATCTCCCTAGGCATCTACTTCACACTCCTCCAAATCTCGGAATACCTCGAAGCCCCCTTTACTATTTCCGACGGCATTTATGGATCAACATTCTTCGTAGCAACAGGCTTCCACGGCTTTCATGTGATAATTGGGTCTACCTTTCTCATCATCTGCCTCCTACGCCAACTAAAATTCCACTTCACATCCAAACACCACTTTGGCTTTGAAGCCGCCGCCTGATACTGACACTTCGTAGACGTAGTCTGACTGTTCTTATATATTTCTATCTACTGATGAGGATCCTATTCTTTCAGTATCAGCTAGTACAATTGACTTCCAATCAATAGGATCTGGTCACAACCCAGAAAAGAATAATTAACCTAGCATTAACCCTTTTCATTAACTCAATAATGGCACTTCTACTTATCACCATTGCCCTCTGGCTCCCCCAGACATATACCTACGCAGAAAAATCAAGTCCATACGAATGTGGATTTGACCCAGTAGGATCTGCCCGCCTACCATTCTCCATAAAATTTTTCCTAGTAGCCATCACATTCCTGCTATTCGACCTGGAAATTACCCTCCTACTGCCACTCCCACGAGCCACCCAAATAGATAACCTCACACTAACACTCGTCATTGCACTTATTTTAATTATTACACTAGCACTAAGCCTAGCCTACGAATGATCTCAAAAGGGCCTAGAATGAGCCGAATATAGTAGTTAGTTTAATCAAAACAACTGGTTTCGGCCCATTAAATTGCGACATATCGTAACTACTAGATGCCTCCAATTTACATCAACATCATTCTAGCATACACCGCATCCCTCGTAGGGCTACTGATATACCGATCCCACTTCATATCTTCACTATTATGCTTGGAGGGCATAATATTATCCCTATTTATTTTAGCCACCATCTTATCCCTAAATCTACATTTTACCTTGTCCTTCACCCTCCCTATTATTATCCTAATCTTCGCAGGATGCGAAACCGCTGTAGGCCTAGCACTCTTAGTAATAATCTCTGACACTTACGGCCTGGACCATGTACAAAACCTTAACCTCCTACAATGCTAAAACTTATTATTCCTACAATTATACTTATCCCCACTACATGATATTCTAGCAGCAAGATAATCTGAATTAACTCAACAGCTCACAGCCTACTAATTAGCCTCATCACCCTTCTCTTCCCAAACCATAACAACGAAAACAGCACAACCACATCACCAAGCTTCTTCTCGGACCCCCTCTCATCTCCCCTTCTAATATTAACAACCTGACTCCTCCCCTTGATAATTATAGCAAGTCAACATCACCTCTCCAAAGAAACACACACCCGAAAAAAACTATATATCGTTATATTAATCTCACTACAGCTATTCTTAATTATAACATTCACTGCCACAGAACTAATCATATTTTATATTATATTTGAAGCAACACTAATCCCAACCTTGATCATCATCACCCGATGAGGCAACCAGCCAGAACGATTAGTGATCTTGTCCCCTTACAGACAGGTCTGTCGCTTGTCCCCTAAGGTAGAATGGAAGTGTCTCTGATCCACTTGATCTTTCTCCATTACTGTCTCAAAGAAATATCAAAGACCTTTTCCAGTTAAGAAAGGTGACTCATGATATTCTTTAGTTTATCACCAATACTGTAATTTATGTCATGTGCAAAATAATGTAGAATCCCACGTCGCTCCTCGTCCCTGTGACCAGCCCTCTTCTGCCTTACCTATCACATTCATTTCACCTCAGATTCATGTGTGGGCAAAGGCTGGGGCTCTGGGAGGGGTGAAGTCCACTTTTGCTTTGCAGTCACTTGCTGAGGAAATTCTGCCTTAGAAAAAAACCTGCTGAGTAACTCAACTCACGGGAATTCTGTTTATTGCGCAACCAATAGGGAATTTCTCCACTTTATTGGGGATTTTTACCCTTTGTTGTGACTTGTACCCTTTTTTGAAGAAAAATAACTGCCGTGAGTTCAGAAAGTCTCTCACCACACCACTTCATCTCTCAGTGGCAAAGCAAGCTCGTGGAGCACTAACCGTTTCATCCTGTTTGCCTTGGAATAAAAGCGCCCAAACCCTTGGGCTTCGTTTCTTTGTTTTGCAGAATTTCCTCTTTTTATCATTTCATTGAGTGCATTTAGGAAATTGAGAGGGGATTTTTGAGGTGGGGTGGTTTTAGTCAGTGATGCTGTCTATTCTGGCAGCTGGACCTGATACAGATTTGTCGCCATTGTCCTCATTGAATATGTGCCCTTTTTTTTTCAGTTCTTACTGTGCTCACTAAAAGCAGTCTTTTAAAAAATTCACCTTTTATTTTATCATCACACACTTGGCCAATTAGTCTCTCTCTGCCTCCCTTTCTTCCTTTCTCTCCCCACATGCACATGCGTGCACATGCACATGCACATACACAAATACATGTGTATCTAAAGACTTACAAAAAGGTAAAACACTAACATGGACCTCTGAGGGACAAAGAACTGTGTTAACCTCAGACTCCCAACTGGTAGCGGCAATATGTGGTGTTTGATAAGAGCACTGCTTTTTCTATTGAAACTTGGCTGCTGCTTTTTGACCCAGCACTAATACCACACAAGGGGCTTCTTGTTAACAACAACAACAAAAAATTTTCTTGTCACTGACTACATATGACCTTTTGATCCTCCAGGTTTTTACCAAAAAAGATTGTCTGGCTAAAGTAGAATAGTGTAAACCTGCTGATTTTCTTTGTGTAAGACGTTTAAGAGGCCAAAAACCCACACACACCCCAAAATCATTGGGAAAAATATGTGCCTCGGTGCATGGACTTCTTTTACGCTTTGGAACTCCCCAGATCTCTGCTGGAAAGCATTGGAGACCCTGTGCCTGGAGCTCCAAAAGTGAAAGGAGGGTTACTGAGTAAGGCACTAGCTTGTTCCTTCCAGCTTATGTTCTAAAACAGATTTTTAGAGATTCAAACAAATATTACAGAAACCTTGGGCAAAGGTACTGGGGATTGTTTTTTAAAATAAGGCACATAGTTTACAAAAAATTTCTGAACAGAAAAGTTCTGTCCCAACCGTATCTAGGTTTCTCTGTATGCTTCTCTTCTTTATCATAGTGACATCTAGAAATTGAATGAATGTTTGCTTTTACTTTTACTTTCTCACTAATTTAGGAGAATTTTAAACACCAACCATAGGAATTCAGCCCCTATAGAGTACTTACGTGCCCCTGGTTGACATTGAACTCAAGGTTATTCTTTCTTAGTCCCACTCCTGAAGTCTTCATGTCAGGCAGACTGTTCCCCTGGCAACTGGGGCCCCATCATGTGGGTCAGGACTGTTCATGCTAATGTCAGAAGAGTGACATCAGTTGCTGCATCCCTTGTTGCTCCAAGTTCTATAATCATCAGAAATAGAAATGGTATTATTTGTATGGAATTTATTCTTTTTGAAAGAGTGACTTGCCTTTGCAGATGACAACTATCTCAGCATAATTTTGCATTGCATTAGTGAAGTCCCTAATAGTTTACCCATAAATATTTGGACTCATTCTTGCTCAGACACACAGAGGCTGTCCATGAACAGGGATCCTGTGAGTACTTAAGTCTCGCTTGATTCATCTCTAAGCAGTCTGAGTGCAGTGAAGGTCTAGGTCAGCCCTGCAGGGCAATAACCCACTTTATTGTTGGAAAAAAACACCTCCTGACAAAATTGAAAGAATTTTATTTAAAAAGTAAATAAAAGAATGGTACGGTTATTTACTCACCCACTAACCAAAGCAGGTCAGATGAGGAGCATTGGAAACTTGATGCGTATTCTGTAATACTATAGTGATAATTCCATCCTAAGAAACTTTAACTCCTTCTTCCTTGTTATCTCTTTGTGTGTTGGTGTTAGTTGCTATTCCTTTGGGTTTCCTGATGTATTTGAAGCTGTCATGCAGGAAAGTTCATTTCTGTTTATAATCATGACCAGACTTTTCACTAGATAGACTACGCATTGAATATCCAGAGCATGTTTAGTGTATGCACAAATCTTCTAACATCCAGCTCCCATCTTCTTAAAAATCTTACTTACCAGGGTGTTTACTTGATTCTCTTAAGTTATTTTTCATTTCCTGGTTTGTACTTAAGTGTATTCATCTCCTTTTATTAGAAAAAAAGAGAAAAATCCCTTTTATTGATGCTTTCACTATTTCAGATTGTTAAAGGTTATTTCCATTTTGTGTTTATCTATAACTGCTTCACCTCAGCCCTCTTTGGCTTCCTAGCTTCTCTTCTGTAGCTAACTTGATGAGAAAGCTCAGTTCCCTGGGCCTGGAAAACTTTCCTACCCCAGGGAATGCTTTCCAGTTTTCAAGGGAGGTGAAAGAACACCAGTGGCCTCAGAATGTACTGGTGATAGCGTCAGAATTGGTACCGTACATGAGTAAGACGGGTGTTGTGGTCATATGTGCCTGTCATGGCAGAGTGCCTTCTTTACATTCTGTCCAGTCTCTCTGCAAGACAGGCCTCTTACTTCTAGATTTCAGAGATCTCTGTGTACGCCAGATTATGGTTATAGGATCTTGAGGGAGAAAAAAATATACTATAAATCTTATTAGTGCTAATAGCATTTTTTTTACCAGGAAGAAATAAGTAAATTGCTCACATTAGTATAAGACAACTATTTAATAGCCATCTCTTACAGGCACTGAATAGCTTGTAGGTGGGCATCAAATCTCCACTGTGAAAATTTCTCTGAAAGTACTACCACCCAGCAGGAGTATTTTTTTTTTTTTTTCTAAGCCCCCACAACATCATCAGATGTCAAATAAAAATCAGGGCCCTCATATGCATGTATGTTCTTTATCTGAACTTAATCTGCCCAGTGGTGCCCAGAAATCAAATGAATATAAACTTAAGCTTTGCTTTTGATTTACTTGTTACTTTTAGAGTTTATAAACTCTTTGAGTCATCTCTGGGACTGGAAGGCACAACAGTGGAACAAGCACTTACATGACCTACACTCATAGGTTTTATTGTCTTACTTGCTTTCTCTAAAAAAAAAAAAAAAAGTTCTATAAGTTTCATTATGGAAATGCTAGTAGTAGAGATAGATATTTAACATGGTGACTTTATTATATCTCTTTTCTACCTGACTTAGTTATGGTTCAGGGGAGCTGCAAGCCCCATCCATGTACCAAACACCTGTAGAGTTGATTCTGTACTGTCTTCAGAGAAAGGGGAAGAACCACTTGGTATTTGCTTAGCATCTCTTTTTTAAACTACTTTTTTAAAGACAGAGAATCACATTGCCATGTGACAGTTGAGGAAGGGCCATGTCTTCGTGCTGACTATCTCTTCTTTGTGATTTAGAGGTGGTGGCCCAGTGGTGCACACAGGGGGACTTGCTGGCAGTTGCTGGAATGGAACGACAGACCCAGCTTGGTGAGCTTCCCAACGGTCCCCTTCTGAAGAATGCCATGGTCAAATTCTACAACGTCCGTGGGGAACACATCTTCACACTGGACACACTTGTGCAGGTAAAGACATTCTTAAGAAACTTGGGTACATCTTTGTGAGAAATGCCCTCACCTGTCCAATGCCAAAGGATGGACATGGAGATACAAGGTACAGTGAAGTGAGATTTTAATTACGGTCTTGCAAGATCCTATGCAGGCACGTGAAAAAGGCCTGTAGCAAGCAATTTATTCCCTAGTACTCAAGTCCCTCCCACCAGTTCCTCCTTGGCTGAGAGAACTATGGGGTGACAATCTTCCTGGACGTGCCTAAGATATATTACCCTGATTTCTTACCTTGTAAGAAATTTCTTTGTCTGAGGGTTCAGGACAAACCTGCAAAAAAGGCCTGCTAAAGCCCTGTGAAAGGAGAAACACCAGAGAATAAAGAAAACAATGGGGGCTAGTAACTAATTTACCATCTCAAGGAGAGCTCTATCTGTTCAGCAACCCGACCCTCCTGGAATGTTCTGGACCAGTCAGATAACTTTCCTCTGGGAATGTGCTGGACTGGGTCTGAATCAGTTAAAACACCCTCAGATAAGTCATTTCTGAAAATGAATTACTTAGATTATTTTCAAACAATCTTCATCACTGGCCACTTTTTTTTTTTTTTTTTTTTTGTCTTTTTGTCTTTTTTCCGTGTCCGGCAACGGATCGCAACCCTCAGTGTTGCCCCCGTACCGGACCGGGGACCGGCGACGGGATCACAAGCCTCGGCGTTGCTCCTGCGCCTCGCTCAGCCAGTGAGCGGGAGCCTGTCTGTACGTGGGATCCGAACCCTCGGACGGGAGCGCTGCCGCGCTTCGCAAGCGGCGCACTATCCAGTGCGCCACCGGGCCGGCCCCATCACTGGCCACTTTTAAGAAGTAATGCCACCGTGTTGATATTCCCCCAATCTTTGTTGAATACTCATGAGTTGATTATTCTGGTTATACTTACCAAATTTATTTTGATCTTTTCTTTACCTTAATTAAATTGTGGTTCATAGACTAGGAGAAATACGGGAGAAAGCAGTTTTTGCCTGTAACCAGAATGCTTTATCCTGTTTCTCCGTCAGGTAAAATGGACAGTGAACAAGCAGAGTGAACTGGTGTTTAACTTCAGTCTGAAGCAGAAATCAGAAACTTTCAGAAATGAATGCTAAATCTTCATTTTTTCACTTGTAGGGGAGGAAAAATAATTTTCTTCTCTCCTCATGAGTTCTTATATGATGTTCCCTTCAATAAAGGATAGATTAAAAAGCAAACAGCAGTTTAATAATTATGTACACCTCCTATATACATGGGAGGTAACCCAGAGAAATTAGTAAATTGCTAGAGTAGATCTCAAAGCATTGTCTCAGACTTCAGGCTTAAATAATTTGCTGAAATAAAGAAAGAAGGGTGTGGGGAAAGGCCTGTTTTTTTAAAAAAAACACGATAAAACAAGAGTAAGGTTTGTTATGCAGATTTAAGCTTACTACATGCCCTTCAGTCCTTCTTCTCTTCTTGGTGCAGATGGGGAGACATGCTTACAAATGGAGATTTCCTTTAAAGATGTAAATATCTCTTAAGAAAGGGTAACTTTTCACATCTTATTACCTTGTGTTGCAGTTTCTCAAAATAACCAGCTCAAATTAGCCTTATGCCAAAGAGACATACTTGGAGTGGTATATTCTGGTCTCCCACAGTCATATTTTGGGACAGCATGTCCTGAACCCCATCACACTCTAATTTTATGTTTATTATGCTCATGATATACTTTTATATTTTAACTAAATTATTATTAAACAATAAGTAAAAAAAGCTTAAAAGTCTTTAAGAAGATATGCACAAGTAGGCCTCTTTCTATTTCTTTTTATTTCCCAGAAATCTTTAGACCAGTTCATTTCTGGGTCACTTATAGCAGAGGATGAAATTCTCAGCAAGGTATAATAGAGACAGGTCTGGGAGGGAGTTGATAATTAAGGGAGGTGATAACAAGCAAGGATCTTTTGTCCTAACCTTGCCCAGCTCGGCTGAGAGGCAGGTATACCAGATTTGGGAAATTTGTAATCAGATGCAGACATTAATTATTTAAATATATCTTTTCTTTTTTAATTGTGATAAAATGCACATAACATAAAACCATCTTAACCATTTTTAAGTTTATAGTTCAGTAGTGCTAAGTATATTATATTATCGTGCAACCAGTCTCCAGAACTTTTTAATCTTGCAAAACTGAAACTCTATATCCACTGAACAACTGTTTCTCTTTTCCCCCTACCCCAAGCCATGGCAATCACCATTCTACTTTTTGTTTCTGTGAGTTTGAATCTGCATATGTCATACAACATTTGTGTTTTTGTGACTTAGCATAATGTTCTCCATGTTGTAGAGTATGTCAGAATTTTCTTCTTCTTTTTTTTTTTTTTTTTTTTTTAAAAATGACCGGTAAGGGGATCTTAACCCTTGACTTGGTGTTGTCAGCACCACGCTCAGCCAGTGAGCGAACCGGCCATCCCTATATGGGATCCGAACCCGTGGCCTTGGTGTTATCAGCACCGCACTCTACCGAGTGAGCCACAGGCCGGCCCAGAATTTTCTTCTTTTTTAAGACTGAATAATATTCCACTGTATGAATATACCACATTTTGTTTACCCATTCATCTATCGAAGAACATTTGGGTTCTCTTCCCATCTTGGCTGTACTGAATAATGAGTGTACAGATATCTCTTTGAGTCTCAGCTTTCAGTCCTTTTCGATATGGACCCAGAAGTGGAATTTCTGGATCATATGGTAATTCTACTTTTAAGTTTTTGAAGAGCCACCACACTATTTTTCATAGCAGCTGCACCATTTTACTTTCCCACCAACACTGCACAGGGGATCCAGTTTCTCCATCCTTGCCAGTACTTGTTATTCTGGGGGCTTTCTTGGTAGCAGCCATCCTGTTGGGTGTGGGGTATTATTCTCATTGTGGTTTTAATGTGCATTTCCCTAATGGTTAGTGATGTTGAGCATTTTTTCATGTGCTTACGAGCCAATTTTATGTCTTCTTTGGAGAAATGTCTGTTCAAGTCCTTTTTAATTGGGTTATTTGCTTTTTTGTTGTTGAGTTCTAGGATTTAAATATTATCTTTTGACAATGTAATATCTTCTGGTGCAGATAAGCATATTTGTTCACTCATTTGTTTAAGCATCCAGCAAACATTTTGAGGGGGACTGTGTTTCAGTACTTGAGGGGTACTAGTTGCTAGTGTTTCAGAGCTGAACAAGAAGACGTGCTCCATGTCTCCCAGGAGCTCAGAAGCTAGTTAAGGAAGACAGATACGTAATTGCACATAAATGCCTTCAATTTTGAAGTAGGACTATTTGCCAGGTGCTGTAATAACTTGGGGGAAAGGAATCCTACACCTGCTATTTGTGAGTGTTTCCAGCTCTGCCTGGTTCTTTCTCTTAGTCAGCTTTCCTCAGGCCACTTCCACCACTTCTACAGCTTTAATTACTGTCTCTCTGATGATCTGACGTCTAGGAAAGAGACCTGTGTACACCCACTGCTTACTTCACAACCTATTAGCCATCTTCTAATTCAGCATATTTAGTTCATCTCCAAATTCAGCATACTCAAAACTCACCGTTTTCCGCCTCACAGACATGCTCCTCCTCCTCCAGGTTATGGCCTGTCCTCCATCAGCTGCGCAAGCCGGGAGCCAGTTAGCCTTGACTCTTCTCTCATGGCCCTAAGTCCTCTCTAGAGTTATTCCATCTCACTATTCCATCCTCCTCCTACCCTGCCGTTCTGGATTTTTTGTTCCTTGGTTTTCCCAGATGACCACTGTCTTCTGAGCTTTGCACCATGCCGTCCCCTCAGCTGTACACGCTTCTCCCCACACCTCGCCGGCCACTCTGTCCTGTTGTCTGAGCAGAGGCATCCCAGACGATTAGGTTGTACTGACCCCATAGCACCCTACCCTTCTATTTCTGGCAGTGTTCAGCAAACTTGTCGTTATTCCTTCAAAGTCTGTTCCATGTTCATTGAAAGCAGGGTCCTTGTCCCTCTTGTTTATTGTTGTACCTGCAGTGCCTTACACATACAAGTATTCTATAAATTTATTAGTTGGGTTATTATTGAATGAAAAAGCCACTTGAACAAACTTGTTGCAGCCCACATGCAACACGCTGGGACTGTAGCTGGCCATAGAGCAATTTCACTACACCGTGAATTAAGGAAATACGCTAAAGAAAAAACAGAATTTGCTACTTTTTGGAGACTTGCACTCAGCGAAGGTAATAAGCCCAATGTCTGTCAGTATTTCCTTCTGGAACAGATTTTATTCCAAAACCCATCACCATCACACCACATTGCAAGGTTTCTGTTCAGCATGTCAGTCTTGCAGGTAACTCCTTGTTGATTTCCTCTCACAAACCCTCCCTCCCTACATGCTTGCTCCATGCTGTGTCTTCCCTCAGTCTCATCCAGTGTGTCCAAGTCCTCCTTGTCCCATGTACCAGCCATTCTGTCTTAATTGCCGTATTTTGCATGTGCCATCCTAGAGGGCTGCCCCTGGCTGTTTCATCTGCACAGGATCTTCTCCTGGCTTTTCTCAAAACAGACTCCCCTTCACCCTTGGGTCCTAGCTCATGTCTCACCTCCTAGAAATGGCTTTCCATGATGCGCTCCCTGAAGTACTCCACTCCCTCACAGTTACTTGTTTTATTGTGCTATTTGTCTTAGCACCTGTCATCTGGAATTCTTTGATTATTTAGTTGTTACATCCCACTGGAATATAAGAGCCATGAATGCTACAACCTCAGATGTCTTATTCACCATTGCCATTCAGGTGCCTAGAACAGCACTTGGCTCCTTGTCAAGTCTCAGTAAGTAGTGGTTGAATGAACCAGTGAGCCTTGGGATTGCCCATCTTATTGCTGCGCATTGCTGGGTGAGTTGCATAATACTCAGGGATCAGATAACTTAAATTTATTTGCCATTTGCATTATCTCTAGGTGTCTTTAGCTACTGGCAATCATAACATGATTTCTAAAAAAGAAGACCAACA